AGCCCAGGCTGGTCTCGAACTCACAACGATCCTCCTGCCTCAGCCTCCCGAGTGCTGGGACTACAGGTGTGTGCCACCCCACCTGGCTCCACAAAAATATTTAAGACGGTGCAATGAGTGGTCTGCACACTGAACAAACTCAAGATAAAACTGCAGTAAGAAAAATCCATGTCCGTGGAATATCTGTACTACATTCTTAAGAAAAACTTTTAATTTTTGTTTTTGGAGAATATGAACGCCAACAGCTGGGTGGCTGGACTGCCTCAAAGCTCGTATTCATTTCCCTCCCTGAAAAATGTTCTCTTTCCAGTTCCTGGACAAGCACCCAAACCGCTCTGGCTCTTTTAAGTTTGGAGCTGATTCAAGTTGGGTTATTTTAATACATACTTAGCACCCTCAGCAAGTATAAGACCCAAATGAAAGAAAAATCTACTTTAGAAGTTATTTTTTTTTCTTGCAAATCATCCGGTAATTTTTTCACATTTTGGTTTCAATAGGCATATAATTTTTCAGAGCATATTTTGTTTTCTAATATCTTACCAGGATTGTCTAGAAAGGGAAATGCCAAATTCTTAATTTGTTTTTTATCCCTTAGTTGCTAAAACAAAACTCAGGTATATAAACTGACAAGTGTATGTGTGCCTAAAAGGATAAAGTGTAAAATATATGAAATTGTTCAGGTACAAAAAAATGTACTGTTTTATTAGAAAGAAAGGTAGAGAAAAATATGTAGAGAAAAATAACTCCAAATTGTCATCTGCTTTAATAAAGTTGGTAACAAAAATAAAGGTCAGCATTTCCCCTAAATATTAGCTTTTCCAAGTAAATACTGACTTTAAGGAAGAGGACTGTTTCCCTGAGAAGTAAAAAGTGGCCACTGATGATGGAAGCTCGAGATGCCACAGAGATGAGTTCAGAGTAATAAGAAGGGACTAATACACAACAAGCGCATTTCTCCAAACATTCTCAAGAGAACTGTCTAAGTGGCTGCAGTTCACTAAGTTAGTGTGTTACCTTGATGGATTTTGTTTTCTATCTTCTCTGTCCAGTTAGATCGTGAGTTCCTCTTGAGGAAGAGCCCTGACATCTCTTTGTGAAGAATGCAGTGTACAAAGAAGAGATTGGCTTGAGTACTTTTAATGCAATGCCTGTGGAAGTGTTAACGATACTGAAGCTCCCCCTGGTGGGTGGCAGGAGAATACATTATGTATTTACTGTTAAAATTCTTAAACTGGGTTGGGGGCACTAACAAGCCATTATAGTAGTTTGTGTTTTAGTTGGAAAAAAAACAAACTACCAGCTGCAGCATCAAGCCTCCTTTAAGTTACATGTTACTCACACACCCACAGCTAGTATGCCTCAAACAGCCACAGACACTACTCTGATATCAGTTCCTAGTTAGGAGACTCACATAATATCCTAGAGACCTGATTTTTCATCTATAAAAATACACCTTGTTTTCAGACGCCTTTTCCATTGGAAACAAGACTAAGGAGTTCATATGGGACAACATAAAAATCCACCTGTCTCATTTTCTAATAGGATACTTTTTCTCCTTGAGGTACCAATGCACATTGCTGATTCCGGCTAGTCCTGCTCTGTGTACCACTTCCGTGCAGCAAAAAGGCCTTTTCCTTCATAGTTTCTCCTTCAACCCAAGCGGGATGTGTAAGTATGACAAAGGAATCCAATAACAATTCTTTCTCCACTACATTCTAAATTAGAAGACACTGAGCTTATGCTACTAGTCAAGCAGACTGAAGCTTAGCTGTAATGATTTCTAGTGTAGCAAATAACTACATGTAAAAAGGTACTATTTAGAAACATGTACTGGTTTGTGAGGTGTCTACGATTTTAAGTCCAAAGAATCTTTGAGAAGCATTTCAAACAGAATGACGTTAGAGGACTTCAGAGTACAGTCCAGTACCGTACAGTATGGTAGAGTATGCCTCTAAATGAAGCACAGTGGCATGTGCCTGTGGTCCCAGCTACTTGGGAGGTTGAGTCAAGAACACTGCTTTAGTCCAGGAATTTGAAATCAGCCTGGGCAACATAGCAAGACCTCACCGTAAAAAAAGAAAAAAAAGGCCTCTCTGACCCACACAAACTGGCTGTGAGATTTCATTTATTTTTCACATTTATTATATTCTTTTGTCCCTTAGTCACAGGCGTATACATAACTAGATCAGAAGAAGGGAAGTGTTAGGTAACTAAGTTTATTAGAAACTCAAAGTAATACAATTTCCAACTTTTAAAACAATATTTTTAACATTTACTCAGTTGGCCAAAGCTTATATTTGAAAGCTGACTTTTAAGTTCCAATGTAATAACTGATGGGCTGACCACATGAACACTACTTCACATCTAGTTGCAATGAGACAGTATCTAGATCCCTGAGCACTGATTTAGACTTTCTAGGACTGGTCTCCTCCTCGACAGTTGGGGACAAGGCACAGGGTTTCCTAAGCTTGTTTCTCTTCTTGTCTAGCACTTAACTGGCTGACAAGCTGTTTGTTCTACCTCTCTTTATGGAGAACACGTAAGTAGTATCACCCCGGATCCATGTCCTACTTGAGCTCTGTCTTTTGTAAAAATGGAAATAACTGGGAAGGAAAAGCAAAGCACCACTATATAGCCAGCTAAAAATTTAACTTTTTTAAAAAATATTACTAGTACTATACTAGTTCATATCTAGTTCTTGGAGCAAAAGTTACTAACATCCCTTTTATGTGTTTTAACTTTCACTGACTTCTCTCAAATTCTTCAAACCATTATAAAGCAAATTTTAAAATTTCCACATAACACTTAACTGGTGGACCCAGACCTAGTAAATTAACAATGGCAAAAGGAGTCCCTTAATAAAATTACACGCTGTGGAAGATTGAAATAGTAAAAGTTAAACCCTGATACAGTATTAAACTTATCTTTTTACATATAAAAATAATACACAGTGGGATACTTTATTCAGTAAGATACAATCTTTAAGATTCAGATAGAATATACAAAATGATTCTATGTACTCCAATGTAGTTTACTGCATACTGGAATAAATATATCTAGGACAGAAAGCAGGAAGTCTGTTTCTAGAGCAATCGCCAGTTAGTGTAGTTTAAAGCCAACTGTTCTGCAGCTATCAGGTACAAAGTAGCTACTGTTGCACTTAGAACAACGTGGTCATTATAAAATAAAGGCTTTAGATCTACGAACAATAACAAAAACACACAAACCAAATGAAAATGTACTAAAATTTAATCATTCATAAAAGCTGTAATTTAATCTGACAGTAAAACACAAGAAGCAATATTAGAGTTGGTTTAGTATATTATATATTTTAGCTTTGAAAGCCATAGAAATCAGTTATCCCAGTTTGTTCCTATAAAAGACCCATTTTTCCAAAGCATTATGCACAATTTTAATTAGAATATAATGACAGATGATATTTCATAATTTTTAAATATAAAATGAAATCGACTCAAAAAAGTTATCTGCTGCAATGAGTTGAGGAAAAATTTCATAATTGGTATCATTACAGATATAAAGTATAATGGTTCAACTTTTTAGTGCTTGACAAGGAGGAATCATGATAAAAAGATCAATATGAAATCATTTGATTATAGTAGCAATATCTAACATTTGAAATGCATCCATGCTCTTTTGTATAATCATATTAGAGTCAAGTATATTTATTTTCACATCTGTTATAATTGCTATTGCAAAGGAGAAACACTATTGTCTTATTTTCCAAGAGATATACACAGAGCAAATTTTTTCTCCAGGGAACTTGTGCAAACCAATATAATATCTAAATTCTTCACATAATATATAAAACAGGAGAAGCCTCTTCGGATTTATTTTTTGAAGTCTGGAATGCTGGCACTTTCCATTTAGGCAACAGTTCTTCATTCCTATAATCTGAAATATATTGAATAGATAAAGACATACATACATATAAACATACATACACACATATATATTTGGTTTTCTTTTGATGTCAGAAGATGGTAGGTAAGCAAGCAGATATCCAATAACATAGAAACAATGGCCTCAGCCTGCATGTGTAGCTCAGGGGTAGAATGAACAGCTATGCCTGAGACCCTAGGTTTGACTGCATGTGCATGTGCTCATAAACATAGACACACACATACAGGCATCCACACCAAAAATGCTCTTGGTTAATCAATACACTAAACAGTTACAGTAATACGGCTACTTTAAATTTTCTTTAAAATGTTTTAAAAAATATAGAAGACTGAATTCATAGGAAGACTCTAAAATTGATCAACTTTAGTTTATCCTGTTTTATTACACTTAGTGTTTCACATTATGTCTAGCAGTCCTGTCTGTAAAAAGGAAAACAGTAACATTTTGTTTCTATCCTATCAGCACTTTATTTATAAGAGTTCCTTCTCCACTAAAGAATGACAATTGCTTGAATAAATTTTCTGTGGGAAATGCTTCATTCAACCATTTTGTGACTGTGTATATTAAAGACTACCACTTTTAATACACACTAAGGCAGTAAGAGATCACATACGGACAAATCCTAGGGCAGAAAAATCAGCAAGTCCTATGGCTCAGCAAAAGAGAGTAAAGTCTCCCCTCAAGTCCCCTGTAGTACTGGTAATTGAACCCAGGAGTGCTCTACCACTAGCTCTCTCACATCTTTTTATTATTATTTTTATTTTGACACAGGGTACCAATAAGTTGCCCAGGCTGACTTTGAACTTGTGATAGTGTACCTCAGTCTCCTGAATAGGTGAGATTATAAGCATGTGCCACCATGTATAACTAAGCTCTATTCGTTGTTTTTGTAGCACTAGGGATCAAAACCTAGGGTCTCTTACACGCTAGGCAAACACTCTACCACTGAGTTACATGACCAGTCTCAAACCACATATTCTGAATACCCATTCTAAAACAGGAACCAGGGACACAGTGGCGAGACAATCAGGTAAGATTCTCACCTCAGACGTTAGGACTCTCAGGGGGAGGGAACAAATTCTCCCAACAGATCAGTATTTATAAGGTTTGTCACACGTACAAGGTACAGAATCTGAGAAATACCCAGAATAAGTAGAAATAGGAAGGGATTAAAGCTGGATAAAACCCAAAAGGAGGTGGTGATGAGAAAGGCATTTTACCTGGCTCAGAGCTGCTGCTGACTTCAGGTCTAGAGCAGCAGACATGATTTCTTTTTAGGCTTCTTCTTTTCCACTGGTGTTTTTCTATTTATTTGTCTGACCAGGTCATAAAATATCTAAATAAAAACAAGAGAAAAGTACTTACACAACCAATATTTGAGACTTTGTCCCAGAAAACAATTTTGGGTTCTGTTAAATATTATTCTACTCTAAGATCTATTATTTTGCTGCTTTGTTTTGAAGTCAGGTTTCTTAGAAGTCTCAGCTGACTCTCACTCAAGGTAAAGCAGGACTTACCTATTTAAAGTAGACTTGCTGCTAGACTAAAAAAAATGACTGGCATCCAAAAACAAAAACAAAAACAAAAACAAAAAACAACAAACCTGGCAGTGAAAAGTAATGTAGTGAAAACTTTGACTTACAGAAAAGTTGTAAGAACAGTACCAAAGAACATCTGTTATTCTTCCTAGATCCACCACTCAGTAACATTTTGCCACTTTTACTTTACTATTTTTCTTTCTCTCCATACACATGTTTACTTTCTGAACCATGTGCGAGTAGTATGCACACCACAGATCTCTTAATGGCTGAATGTGTATTTCCTAAGAACAAGGATATTCTCTTACATAACCATATTACAGTTATCACATTCAAGACGTGTAAGCACTGATACATTACTTTGTACTATCTATAGTGCAAATTCCAATTTCATCAGTTATCCCAATAACGCCCTAAAAAGTAACTTCTCCCTCCAGAGACAGAATCCACCCAGGACCACACAATGCACTTTGTTTCTTTCTTGACACTTTACATTTTTTTTAATGCACAACAGTTCCCTGGACTTTGTCTTTCAGGGCATTATCATTTCTGAAAAATAAAGGCTAGTAAAGTTACAGATTTCCTTTTCAAGTCTGCTGTTTCTTTATGCTTAGATTCATGTTAAAGATTTTTGGTTGAAATAAGACAAAATATTTTAAGTCCCTCTTTAGGTATCACATGTGGAAGCACATGATTCTTTTTTTTTTTTTTTTTTTTTTTTTTTCTCCGGTACCGGGAACCGAACTCACGACCTTGCGCTTGCCAGGCAGGCGCTTTTGCCGCTGAGCTAAATCCCCAGCCCCAAAGCACATGATTCTTATCTGCCCTTTTTTGGTGAGATTCCTTTTAACTAAACAACAAAACAAAAAGTTTACTGATCCCTGATTTGAAGTAACAAATTACTCTGAACTATAAAACTATAAAAATCTGAATTGTATGTTAATATAATTAAAAATTTAAATTGTATCTTAATATAGTTCTCTCTGAACTATAGAAAAATTTCAATTATATGTTAATGAATCTTGTGAATTCACTGCTAGATGCAAAGTACTGTACAAAGTATCAAGGACAAAAATACAATGCTACTTATTTCACAAAAGCAAATTATTTTAATTCTGATATTTATATACAGTTTCATAATGCTAAGTATGTTCAAGTGTTGAAACATGAAACAGACCAGCTGAATTTGGTTCTTTGCCATGAAATGGAAACACTAATTTATTAATGACCTGGAATACAAACAACTCCTTACTAGTACTTATCTGGCATAAACAGTGCTTTGTAGAGATGAATTTAAAAACATGCACTGGTTTTAAGTAACACTACAGGGACCAATTGGCAAAGTCTGAATAAATACCAAATATGAATTATGTTTTTCCTGATTTTATTCTTTATTTACTTTGTGATGCTGGAAATTAAACCCAGGAACTAGCCCATGCTAGGAAAGTGCTCTACAACTAAGTCACACACCCCCGACTCCAAAATTTTCCTGATTTTTTTTATGTAAGAGAATGTCTTTGATCCAAGGATACACCTACTAAAATATTTAGTAACAAAAGGGTGTGACTTCTGTGAAAATACAGCAAAAATGTTAATAAATGGTAATCTGCATGAAGAGCAAACAAATTTTCATTGTTTTTAGCTCTTTTGAGTAAATTTTAAAGGTATTTTTATATTATTGGCTTACATTAAGGTAGTGAACTATTACATTTTTTAAGATGACACATAATCATCTATTTATTTTAATATAATGACTTATCCCAGAGTGGTCTCATTTATTCTTTACACTTTCTTTTGTTGGCTCATCTTCCCCACTCCCATCTTCTTGAAACCACTTAACTATTATCTTATTTCTAAAGAAAGTCTGAAAACAGAATTTATAAACAAAATGGTAAATGGCAATTGGTTTTACAACTCCAGAGTCCAAGTTGTTTCACAACTTTAAAGACTTCGAGAACTTAATATAAGCTACAAATGAGCTTTTATTCGTTTCTGCAGCTTCATCTATAAGCTATAATGTGAAATGTAATAAAAAGGTAAGCTAGATAGCAAGTTAATCACACACACAGGTAGTTTCAATTCTAGTTTCTTTATGCCCGTTTCCAGTTTCCAGCATGTATTATACAGAAAGGTAACTGATTTCTGCAGTAATATTCTGAATGATTTCTTTGGAAAGCATTGCCTACCTCACAGCAGCAGATGGTTCAGTGATGAGGGCAAGTTCGAACTATAATACTGGGTTAGAAATGCTGAAAGTTCCCAGCCTAGGTTCTTCCTCATCTCTCTGAACTACAGAAAAATCTAAAGGGAACACAGAATAGAGTTTCTCAATCCCTCTCCCATTCCTAAATTGGGATGTCTTGATTCTAATTATTATTCCAGCCTCAGCAAAGAACAATTTTTGATTAAGACTGATGTGATTCTGGCATAGCTATACACTACTTTCAGAACATAACAAAAGTGGTATGAATAAAACTTGAAGAAAAAACATCAGAGAATTAGAGGGCTCGGGCCAAGCAGTAATCCCTATCTGTTTTCAAATCTGAGGGGAAGAGTTGAATCTTATGGAAGTATTATCCTTGTCCTCAGGCATTCAGAAATTACACAAACATTTTGACCAGGCAGCTTAAGTTGTCTAAGAAACTATCAAAGGAATTCAGTAGCTGGGTTATCAGGCTACAAAGAGAGACATCTTTTAAAAAGAAACAAAAAAAAAAACCCTCAAATTATATTCCCAAGAATTTCTACTACGAAGTTTGTGTATCGTCTTAAAATGGCTAATGCATTTTATTTTATTATTTTTCTGTTTGTTTTATAAACTTTCCTGTCAAGGGTTGACTTTGAAAAGACTGTTGTGAGAAAGTCCTGCTACATAGACTACAACCCAGAAGAGGTTCAGTTGCATGTAGGTTCCCACAAACATGTTATACTTAAAGATGCTAAAAAGAAATTCTGCCTGTCGGACCCTGGCCAACTTAGCTCCAAGGTAGTCACTGAACTTAGTGGGTAGGCGCCAGTAAGGTGAAGGACAGGCACAGTAAGGAGTGAGACCGTACAGAAAGCCCACAGGTGACCTTGCATCACTGTCCCAGTAGCCAAAGGGCAATCACCAATCCTAATGTGTTCTTATTTATTTATTTATTTAATTTTTTTTTTTTTTTTTTTTTTTTTCCGGTACCAAAACTCATGACCTCGTGCTTGCCAGGCAGGCGCTGTGTCGCTGAGCTAAATCCCCAGCCCTCCTAATGTGTTCTTAATCAAAATTACCCTTGTTTAAAGAAAAGACCGTACTAAAAATTAAAAAATTTTATCATGGCCACAGTCTTCAAAATAACCTTTAGGAAACTATAATTCTACAACAGAGAAACTTGAAGCTGAATGGATATCAAATTTCCTTTCATTTACTTGGAAGTGAGTAAGAAATAATTGTCAACAATCTCAGCAAAATTTGTCCCCCCACTAGGATATAAAGACCTTCTTTTTCTTTTCTTTTCTTTTTTTTAAATTTTGAGGTCTCATTAAGTCACTGAATTGCCTAGGCTGGGTTTGAACTTGCAATTCTCCTGTCTCACTTCCCCAGAGTGTTGGCATTTTAGCTGTAGAGCACACGCCCACCTAGATTTAACCTCTTAAGCGTGGGAACAGTGTCTGTCCAGATGACTGCTACCTGAATGGGTGACACAATGCCAGGTAAACAGCAGGTACTTCAATATATATTTGCTGAATATGTGAGTTTATCAATTTCTTGTTTTTATGTACTTGTTAAAAATGGCTTCCTCTAAAAAAAAAAAAAGTTCTGGCATTTAAAATTATTTGTAAGAAACAGGACTTGTGGTAAGCTGAAATTTTCTTCTGCCAGGTAAAGTAATTTGGCCATTTTAAAATGGTCTACACGTATAGTATCAGTCAAGGAGGAGTGACCTGCAGAACCACAGACCTGAGAACAACAGCAAGGAAAAACACAGGATTCTGATAAGCTAACTTACTCTTTATCTGTTCTTTAAATTAATCTGAGTTCTGACTGATAACTTGTGATGCTAAAAATGCCAAGCACATAGGTAAGAGAAAGGAAAGAAACCTACTTTGTTTGGTTTTTAAAGAAAGGTGTGTGGTAAAGTTAACAAAACAAAGGGAATTTCTTAAGTTTTTGTTGATTGGTGGGGGAAGCTAGAACTACACTAATTTCTTAGGTGCTCAATAAATTAGTGGCCCTTTACCCTCAGAGTGCAACTTGCTTCTAGCCCAGTTTATGTCGTAAGACAGTGCAGGACAAAATTCAGAGAGAAAAAAGAGCCCTCCGCACTTCCGTATTAAGACTAAAGGGTGGATGAGTTTCAGTTATATGTCTAATCTCACACAGATTCCTTACTTTTAGGAATGCACCAAAGGCGAGGCAACACTCAGAAGCCACACTCTGTGATGTCTATGAAGGTACGAACATCTTTCTGTGTAACAACTGTTTATTCTAATAATTACTTCAATTTCTGCCTTTTCCTACTTGACTCTACAACCTACTTATATGCATCTACATAGATAACTGTCATGACATAAAGGTGCTGTGATATTTTTCACACATCTCTTTCTGGTATATCCTAGAAGGGTTTATTTAGCAGGACTTTATAGTCTTTCTCTTTGACAATAAGGTAAATTTCAGTGTTCTCATTAGAGCTATCAAAGTGATCTTACACAGGCTAAAGAAATACTTAGTGTTTTCTATGATGTGATGGAACGAAGAGTGCTTTGACATTTTCTGTTAAAAATTTTTGGCTATTAATTTAATGCAAAAGAAACTATAATGCACTTGTTTGTGCTGCTCAGCAATTTTAAGTTACCTCATTAACGTTGATCTTTGACTTTGCAGAAGATTCTAAAAAGGCACAGTTACACCACTGTCTTGCTAAATTCTGGCCCTGTTCTTTGCCAACTACTCGCTCATCTTCCAGGTCACATTTATTGCCAACCAAAATCATTGGAACCTGCAAGAAGGAAAAACATAAAATAAGCAATAACTGCCAACCTAGACTGCTGTTATAAATAAGCAATTAACTACCATCAACTAAAATGTATTTGTTAGAACTGTAAGCGTCACCAAAAGCTTAAAAAAAGGGATTATACATCTATGTGTTTTAGGGGAGAGTAGAATGACTAAGGGGGGGGGAGACTAAAAATTATGGAAGAGATCCTACCAGACTCATATGACAAATTATTTTAAAACTTAAAACTAAATGTTTTCTGTGGACTACTGCAAATAGTTGAATTCCAAGTAGAAAAAAATCTGAAGGAAAAGGAATCTCTTGCAATACATTGGTACTCATTCACTGGGGCTAAATGGTTTAAGTGCTCGATCTCATAGGTGTAATAAATGCTAAAGCAGCAACAAGATCAACACAGTAAAAGCTATGGCTTCTATATTTCATAGCTAGACCATAAACAGGTGAAATATTAAACAGGCATTAGCATAAAAATAAAGCCACAGGGTCGCCATGCCTTCCTTTTTCTTCCATATCACAAGTGGTTGGCTATGTCCATCTACAACACTCCCAGTAAGGCAATTAGCTAACAAACTGAATTAACTCCCTCAGTTAAAAGGTGTTCAGAGGAAAGGCCATTTTTTTTGAGGTGATGGACACTATACAAAAAAAAAAAAAAAAAAAGAATTAGACATGGTAGACCTTCTTCCTAAAAGAGGTAATTATCACAGGTTAGATTCAATGCACAATGCATCTGCAACTCCTCCATCTTCTCTCCTTTACTACATGGAATAAAGGGATTAACATTATCAGAGTTCAGTGATCTACACATAATTGCCCATGAAAACAGAACTCTCTTGGCTAAATTAGTCATGGGAAGGAATAAAAGTATTCATTAAGTTACATGCTGTCATGAGTCATGGTATAAATCCTTCCCACCTACAATAATTACCAAGGTTAGAGTCCTGAACAGATGTAAATGCTCCCATCGATAATGAGAGACAACACACAAAAACTGAGAAGGACCCATGAAAATTTATAACCTAATTTATACAACTAAAAAAGAATCCTCTGTAGCTCAAATCTGAGGTAAACATGTCAAATATAAACTTTATTTTTGCAGAGGAAAAGACACTACCAACAAAATGCTATTTATCAAATAATATATTTCTAAAGCAAAATTAATGTTAAAAAATCTAGTTAATTAAAATCTTTAACATAATTCAAAGGAAAAAGCTGCATGTAAATAAAAACTATACGAACAAACTTTAGAAACAGGCATATATTGTCATATTCTTGGCGTTTGCCGAACGTTATTTCTGATATAACGAAGTATAACTTCAGCTCCACTTTTCTATATTCTTTGACTACTTTTCTTTCTCACTTTTTATCCACCTAGCACAAGCACTTTACCACATGTGTCATTCTGTAAACATCTCATCATATAATTTGTAGGTTAATTTTAAAAGTTAAAATTTATTTTGGTCACAAGGGCTCTTTCTGACATGTGGTTGATACCTTTCAAATCCTCAACTAGGCATGGTAGTGCTGGGTAATCCCCCAGCGCATGGGAGGCTGACAGGAAGATCACTGGAGGCTGATGGCCACACTGGCCTACATAGTAAGTTCAAAGCCAGCCTGGAATACACAGCAAGACCCTGTCCCAAAACCAAGCAATAATAACAACAAAAAATCCAAAAAGCAGATCCTGTACTGATGAAAGAGCAAACTTTTTTTATTTGGCTGTAGGAGATCACAGTATGTCTTATAGAGAGAAAAATACTTACATCTTCTGTGTCCTTAACCCGTAAAATCTGTTCCCTTAAATCCTGTAAATCATTAAATGTGGACTGAGCTGTAATAGAATATACTAGTGCAAATCCTTGGCCATTCTTCATATACAAATCCCTCATAGCTGTAAATTGTTCCTGTAATAAAAAATATATAAATGTATAATTTTTGAATGTATACAGGAAGTATTTTAAGTAGAACAATCGTGAGTTCCTACTGTTTTTTATTACCTGCTATCATGACAGAAAACATAGGGCATGATACATAGTTTCTAGCAACTCTGAGGTAATGTTCCTATTCCCTATTTAGGTGACCAGAAGTAGTGACAACCAATCATGAATTAGAAGAGATTCCTAACCACCTCAATTTGTTTTGAAGTAATTTAGAAGAACTAAACTATAATGTAATCACTCAGCACAGACTGACTCGGTTATCTCTACTGGTAAATTTCATCATCTTGATAATCATTAGACTTTGGGTTTTTGTTTTTGTTTGCTTTTTGGTAGTTCTGGGGATTGAACCCAAAGCCTCATGCATGCTAAGCAAGCACTCTACCACTGAGCTACATCTCCACCCTGGACTCTTCATCAGATCATTTTTATGATTTTTATTTTCTTACCTCACTTAAGCCATTAAATGTATCATAAAGATATGAGAATAGTGCAATGACTATCATCTCCTTTAGGTAGATTCACTAATTGTTAACATTTGGTCACTGAGCTATAGTCACAACAAATTAAAATTCTGTTTCAGTTTTAAACCCACTTCCTCTTACTTGGTGACAATCAGCACTGTATGTTATAACTATAGGTATTATTATTATTATTTTTCTGTTTTTCTTCTGGTACCAGGAATGGAACACACGACCTTGTGCTTGTCAGGCAGGCACTTTACCGCTGAGCTAAATCCCCAGCCCCAACTATAGGTATTAGTTATATTAGAATCTTATATTAAATATCTCTCAATGATATACAGCATTAGGAAAGGCACATATAGCATAATATTAAAATGTATATATCATGAGTATTTATAATTACACATTTTAAATCTTCCCATCTTTGGATGCATCAAACATATACCATTAAGTTCACAAGTTTTGTAAGCTCTGTTTCTTTGGCTTGCTGGCTTACCACCATTGTTACCACTATTTTTGTCTACTATGTCTGTAATAGTTCCAGTTGTTCTAGCCTGGCTGATGTACTCAATTTGTATTCCAAGGAGCTGACTATGCTATCAGCAACCATTTCCCTAACCTCAAATTCTAGTAGTTTTTGGTGTGCCATAAGACTATGGTTGAACTTTCTGTGTTGCTGCCAGTGTATTTTCTGGGAAAGATGTATCAATTATGGTTTTTGTTAATAGTTTTCATTTATAAACTGTTAGAAATTCTGGCACTATTATTCCTATTATGTTCTTCTGAGATCACAGTCTTTGCTATTTATTAATGAAGAGTAAAAACACAGAGCCAATCTGAGTTTTAAAAATTCAATCTAAAAATAGTCCTTACAGAAGAACTGCTGTTGATTTTACCTACTTCTGAAAATCCCAACCTCTTCCTAGGGACATTCTAGAAGTTTCACCCATTCAACAATTATCCACAGAGGGCCCAGTATAGTGCATGCCAGACACTGCTGTAATATTAGGGAGATAGTGAACATTAGAATAAAAATTTCAGGAGGAGTGTGCATGGAGCTAAACAAAGATAAGGTATAAAGTACACCAGATAGGAATAAATGTTACAGAGGAAAAGCAGAGGCGGGGAATAGGGAGTTTCTTTGAGGATGGAACAGAAGATTATGTTTTAAGGGGAAGGGCTCAAAGACAATAGGAAGGAGGGCAGGAAGGTGAGAAAGTAAGCTCGTATCTGGATGTCGAGGAAGAGGATCCCAGGCAAAGGTAACAGCAAATGCACGGGACCGAAAGGGATTTAAGAAGCTGCACGAGGTTGAATTCACTGAGTTGGTGAATGAGTGGGCAAGCACAGACGTGGCCAGAGACGGAAATACCTATCTTAACTAAAATTCAGTTTAAAATTCTAAAAAATGATTCGGACAGCATATTCCTGACTGCAATACAAAGGAACACAGATTCTGCAGGTGAGCTCAATATAGAATGTAATCAAGGTATGTGGGCATTAAGTACACCATAAATAATTTACACACCTGAGAAAATTTAAGAACCTGTATATTCAAAGAATTTTTAAAAATCAGAATGATTACTTTCACACAGAAGAATTACTCACATGACAAAATATGCTTGTGAAATCTGGGAGGGGAGGGAGGGTGGAAGGGAGGAAAAAACAAACAAACATGCTTACCGTCCCTGCTGTATCCAGGATTTCCAGCATACACTGTTGGCAATCTACTTCAACTTGCTGTGAGGGTGAAAAGAAAAAAATGAAAAAGAAACATCAAACTGTCATTTTGTTTCCCTTATACCTCTTTATCCAAAATACCTATTAACAACTACAAAGCATTTTTGTAGCAGTTTGCTGTGTTGGCTGGGACTAAACTTGGTAGCACAGAATAGAGAAGAGGGTTCTTCAAGCACATTCTATTAATATTACAGAAGCCAGGATAGTTAATGTTGAGTGCAGATATTTTCTGGCCACTGTAATGATGCTTATTTGTTCTTATTAGAAAGCAAATGATCATAGTTTGGAATTTAAGAGGAACTATAAACTGATACAACAGTTTTAACAGAAAAAAATGCCATGTATCTGTTTGTATCATATTCAGAGAAAAAGTACAAAAGTATTAAATGGCTGAAAATGCACATAAGAAGCTGGGCACAGGGACACAAACCTATAATCCCAGCTATTGGGGAAGCTGAGGCAGGAAGATCACAAGTCCAAGGCCAGCCTAGGCAATACCCTGTCTCAAAATAAAAAAGGGCAGGGGATGTAGCTCAGTGGTAGAGAGTTTGCCTAACTTGTACGAGGTTATGGGTTTGATGCCTAATACCCCTCTCAAACATTGCATAAAAGATTTGTGAGTAAAGAACATTCTTTAGAATTACTTACTATATTCAAGTTGTTAAAATTTTACTAAAATTCACATTTAAGAAATAAGGGGATGTATGGTGCATCTCTGCATCATTTCCAATTTTTTTTTATTACCTGTTACCGTCTTTGATTGATCAATCTTATATTCCTACGTCTGGTAGACTGAGCAACTTCGTTGAAGATAACAATATGTAATATAGCAACCATTGTTAATTCCTATATCTTGTTTTGGGGTCATGTATCATTTTTGTTGTTTTGATTTTGTCTTCACTGTTGTTGTTTTGTTAGTTTTTTTAATCTTTAAAATAAAAAAAATTAAAAATAAAAAAGAAGGGGAGCACACAAGTGTTAAATAACACTGAGCTCTATTTCAGAAAAACTATGCAAAGGGTGAAATTGTATACACTGCATTCCATTTCCCCACTGTCTTGTAAAAGAAGAAAGGCTGGCCTAAGGAAAGTGTAAACTATCAACTGTATAGAAAATTTTTAATAAAGAAGGGATTAAGAAAAGTTGGTCCTTCAGTATTCTAGGTACAGACCTGTTCTGTAGTTAAAGATTTAACAAGGAACTTTTTCTGGGGAAATTTCAATAAAGCAACACTGTCCTCTAAAAATAAGTGTACTATTAGCCTACAATCTGTTTTAAACTCTCTCTGTGTAAGATAGGGACTGATGAGGGGGTCCTCTCATGGTGTCTCAAACTCACTGTCCCTCCAATGAACAAGGTAAGTACAATCTGTCACCAGCAATGTTCAGTAAATAATGAACCATGTCTGTAGTTTTGCAGTGTTTGTAGAGCACAACTGCGTTTCTAATTTGAAGGCAGTTAAATTACTCTGCCAGTACTTCTTGATGAACTTAATTCAACAAAACTTACAAGACTATTAAAGATAAATCCTAAAAGCCTTTAACAAAGGAATCCTTTCCTATTTGTTGAAAGAAAGGTTTCATGTTGGAGGCGGGAGTATAATATCCTTGGCTACTAGTCTTTTGTAACACTGTCTTCTTCCTTCCTAATATACTTGGAAAACAAAATGGTGAAAAAATTTCACAATTCTAACTAGTCTTATAATTAAATACATTTTTTTGGATCAAGACTAACTCTGGTTTTTTCACTCTTAAATAGATTTAATTTTTTAAAAAGCAGTATTAGGTTCACTGAAAAGCTGAGGGGAATGTTTTTTCAGCTCCCACCACACGCAGCTCCCTCCTGTCAACATCCTACACCGCAGGGGCATGGTTGCCCCAACTGATGAACCTATACAGATATGATTATCACCAAAAGCCCGTGGTTTACATTACAGTCTTCTTTTCATATTACACCTTCTATGGGTTTTGATAAATGTGTGGCATGTATCCCCATTATACTATCATAAGGATTTTAACTAACTTTTTGGTAGTCAAAAGGTAAAATATCTTCACATTTATTAAATGTACAAACAACAACAACGATTTATTAAACGCATTATACAACTCAATGGATAACTTCAAGCATAAAAGTGATCTTAATTTTTGTTAACAAAAAGTGGCTGGAAATATACTAATATTTAATGGAATCCTTTTTTTCTTTTAAAAATTCCCCACTAGGAAAATGTATACATTCGGGGATAAATTAAAAATCAACACTAAAACATGAAGTTCTCTATACCTTAGAGAAACATTTTTTTCTAGGTGAAACCTTTAAAAACAGATATAAGCACATTTTCATCATTTCTTAAAACTATTTTATTATTTTTAGAAGTTATTATGAATTTATTATTTATAAAATTGTTAGAAGTTCACAAATACAATGTTAGAACAAATGCACAGCTCAGAGAGACTGGTCACCAACACACAGGTTGATACACACATTCTGTTTCCTGTGAGTGTGACGATGGGTGTTACGGTTTGTGTCTAGATGTCCCCTGAAAGCCTCACGTATTTTCAGATGGGGCTTTCTCTGAAGTAGCTGAATCTAGAGTTTGTGATGCTAGACCTAATGGTGCTTGGGTTAAAGGTGGGTGACTGCTGGGATCAGTCAGTCCACTGATTGGATTGGGACCGCCCAGTCCAGCAGCCTGGGTAAGACACAAGAGGCATAAAGAGGCTTGTCTTTCCCTTCTCTGGCTGGCTCGCTTTTGCTGTCCACTCTGAACTGTTTCTCCTCTGGGATGCCCTTCTGCCAAACCACTCTGCCTTGAAGCCGGTCCATTATGGACTGAAACCTCCAAACTGTGAGCTAAACAAACCTGTCCTCCTTTAACTTTGGGTATCACGTATTTTGTCTCAGCAACCAGAGAAAAAAGTAACTAACACTACGGGCATTAAATCTTGAGCAAGAACAACACAGCCACACCCTCAAGGGCTTGGGTGGGTCTACTTCCAGTGGCTCAAACTATTTTTTCTCTTTTTTATTTTCTTTTGTCTTTTTGAGATAGGGTTTTACTATGTAGTTCAAGCTGGCCTTGAACTCCGCATTGATCCTCCTGCCTTAGCCTCCCAAATGCTGGGATTACAGGTGTGTGCCAGCACGCCCAGCCTCAAAACTATTTTTAAAAAGGGTTTCCAAGGATCAAGTTTTAAAGACCTAAGGATCTAGTTGTAAGTATGAGCACACAGTTTCACATTTTACCTTTCTGTAGGAATCTTCTATCGTTGGGTCGTATTTTTCAACAAAAATTCCTTGAACAAACTGAACTGTCTGAGGGGAAAAAACAAAAGTCAATGACCTGAAAGAAAAATCTGACTTTCTTGAATGTTACTTAACCTTACAAAATTGTAAAGATTAAATGAAATTATGTTAAAATTCTGGGTAAACACACAAATGTAAAGAATCATTTTTCAATGTAAACATCATATATGAGTATAGGTATTACAGAAAGAAGTGGTCATGTTAAAAACTCATCAATACTGTTGCTACTGAACAGTTACTGTACAGTTTTAAAATACAATGAGGATACGAAAACCAGATTCTAACTTACTAAAAAATTTAAAATTAAGGGTTTTTTTTTTTTGTCTTTCTGAGACAGGGTCTCGCTATGCAGCTCAGGCTGACCTTGAGCTCACTTTGTAGCCCAGGCTGGTCTCGAACTCTCAATGATCCTCCTGCCTCAGCCTCCCGAGTGCTGGGATTACAGGCGTGCACCACCACGCCCGGCAAGAAAAAAAAAATTGTAAGTTTTTACCGTATTATTTTTTTATGTACTTATAGTGACTATACAGTGCTCTCAAAGGAAAAAGACAAAGGTACTAAATTTTCCTTCTTTCCAATTGTGGGGGAAAACACAAAAGGGAATTTAAATTTATGAACGTCTGTTGGGTTCCAGGCACCAAGTTAGTCACTTTTAATTTACATCACAGTCAATTCACATTCATCCCATATAAAGTTGTTTTTCCCATTTGCCAGCTGAAATTCAAACACACCTTCTTCTTGACTCTAAAGCATTACCCTTCCCACTGGAAAGCACTGCTTACTCATCTTTTTTTAGATATTAGCTACAATAGCGCCCCCATCTGTGGTTGTTTTCCTAAAATTTCAGTAACCTAGAGTTAACAATGACACAAAATATTAAATGGAAAATTCCAAATATGAACATTTTGTAAGTTTTACACTAGATGCCATCCTTTTCTCTTCCACACAGGACATGAATCATCTGTCTATGGTATCCACACTGTATACACTACCCAACCATTAATCACTTTGTAGTTGTGCTGGTTATCAAATCAACTGTCAAGGTTAACACAGTACTTGTGTTCAAGTAAACCCTTATTTTGGTTAATAATGGACCCAAAACATAACAGTAGTGATGCTGACAACTCAGTTGTACCAAAGAGACACTGTAAAGTGCTTCATTTAAGTGAAAACATGAACCAGGCATGGTGGCGGACGCCTGTAGTCCCAGCACTCAGGAGGCTGACGCAGGAGGATCACTGTTTGAGTTTGAGGCAAGCCTAGGCTACTAAGCCAGTTCAAGGCCAGACTGCACTATACAGCGAAACCCTGTCTCAACAAAACAAAACAAAACACTTCTAGTTTATAAATTTACCATTTCCACAGGTATACAGGTACAGGGAAAAGAGTATATATAGGTTTAGTACTATCTGTGGTTTTAGGTATTCACTAGGGGTCTTGAAATGTATATCACATAGATAAGGGAGAGGTACTACACCTTTATTTCAAAGATTTCTGTAAGCACATACTAGAAACAATATATTTTATGATTCAGTAAATGCAAAAGAAGTACAAGAGATGGTTATGAGATTATTGCCTGGACAGCTTTAAAACAGGAGACAGTATTATTACCTTAAGGCAAAGGTAAAAATGTGGTCACCTATACTTAAATTACTAACGTAAGTATTTCATACACTATTTGAGCTTGAGCTAAGCAGATTTTGAATACAGTGACTTCAAACTTCTTTCTCTAAGCTCTTCTCATTTAAAGGAAATTCTGGGTATGATCACACCAAAAGCTTTAATCATAATTTTTGTCAAGTATTTAATCCCCTCATCTTCTTACTATGACAATTTAAATATGAAAAATAGTCTGATATGGGTCCTAATATGCTTTAGACTAGAGCCTCAGCTCTCAAAATACTGTCCAGAGGGTCCTTCAGATCATACTATTTTTATAATGATATTACTATGTGCTCTCCTCTCATAGGTTTATAGTGTTTTCTGAAGAGTTGAGAACACGTACTACTGCAAGACAGTGGATGTAGAATAAAGAATGAAAAATCAAGTGCAAACATTAATGAGCCAGACATTAGTGAGACTTGCAAAAATGAAAACTGTCTCACACTTCTCACTTCTTTCTCACTACAAGTGATCTTTCATTATTTCTCTGAATCTTACCTTCTCAATTCTCAGGGACATCTTATTCCTTCAGACAGATTTTAAGTTTATTCTGCGGACTTCCATACCAGAGTTTCTCCTTCCTTCTCTCCTCTATCATCATTTTCCTCTTCATTGGATTACTGACTTCAACACACAAATACGCTCTTCTACCGCTAATCTCCAAACAAAAACTTCCCTTAACTCCACGATCCCTCTAGTTTCTGTTCTCTCACATATCAAGCTTCTTCAAGTCTACCCGGAGTTGCATTTCCTCAAGTCTCACTTACACTTTAGCTCACCTCAGGATGGTTATGGTGCTACTGCTGACCCAAGGCTACTTCTTTTATCACACTCAACTACTTCCATGTTCCTACATCCTTTCTTTCCCATTTGAATTCTGAGCAGTCAAGTAGATGTGTTCTTTATGGTAAAGTGGAGAATAACATACATTCTCCTATGCTGGATTCTCTAATCCTGCCTATTCTCTGAAGGTTGAGAAGTATGCAGAGCTCAGTTCTTGGCTCTTCCGGTCTCTTCTAGAGAATGTCATTCATTTCTATGGATTTTAAAAAATTATCTTTGCCTACCTATCACCTTTGTTCCCAGCAACCCAATCCAACTCATAAGAAGCGACAGATATCTACTGCATAACTTCCAGAGTCTGTGCACTGTAGCTCTCCTCAACCTTTCTTTTCAGCCTCAGCCTCCTGAGTTTTGGGATTACAGGTGTGCACCACTATGCTTGGCTCTTGACAGTATCATTTTTATTTATGTGCATTTATATGCAGAATAAATTTTCAGGAAGAGAATTGCTAAACTGAAAGTTAGCTTGCATTTGGAAAGTCTCACATATATCTGCAGAAATACTAATTTACCCTTTAACAGCAACTTAATTCTCATGAAATTAAATACCACTGATATATTGGTGGCCCTCGAAATCATATCACAGGCCTCTTTTAAAGTCTTTCTTTTGGTTTTTCGAGACAAGTGTTTTGCTACATTGTTAGGCTGGCCTTGAACTCACTATGTAACCCAGGCTGGCCCTGAACTCATGGTGATCCTCCTGCTTCAGCCCCTGGAGGCAGGAGGGATTACAGAGGTGCACTACCGCACCCAGCCTTTTAAGTGCTTATCTTGAAAATTCATTTGTTTATCTGATATATTTACTTGAACGTCTCAGAAGCATAAAATTGGTCTGAGTGTTCCTTCTTTCCTAGACCCCGTTTCAATCAAGCACTAAGCTATGTCAAGTCTACCTCCTATAGAATCCTCAGACCATTTGTATATCTTTTTCACTGCCAACGCCCTAGATTATTTCTATAAACAATCTAGCACTGTTTAGAAAAAAAAATCTAGTACTCTTAATTAGCTCTCATGTCCACTGTTTCTCTTCTCAAACAGAGCAGCACTGACTCATTAAAACATATATCCAATTTACCTGCCTCCCCCAAACTCTATCTTCAATGTCTTCTCATTAAAATAATGTCTTCTTATTAAAAGTAAGTTCCAAGTTCGTTACTGGTCTCAAATCATGGTATGGCCCCTATCTACAGGTTACCTTGTTTCCTTCTACGGTCCTCCCTGTTCTCTCCTGCCCCAACTATACAGACTTTTCTCTCAGTCATTCAAATGCTAACTTGGATCCACCTGTCACAGGCTCTCCCATAACAATTTGTATTTTTCTTTTAGAGTATCTCTCTCACAATTATAATCAAGCTCTTTCTATAACTGTGTATTTATTGTATCTCTACTAAGTTCTGTAACAGACGGCGACTCTCGATGTTTTTGCTCGCTGTTGTGACCCCAGTCTGCACTGTACACACCTTCCTTGTTTAATGACTGAGCTCAGTTCCTATGACTAAGTCACTGAATGCACTGGTCACTAAATGAGGAACTGTACATGGCCTATACAATATTCAGAACAAAGAAATGCTCAAAGGAAATTCCAACCTGAGGACTTTGCTTTTATTTGTATATGTTTTACATACAGTACTGTAAAGTATAACAGAACATAATACCAGTACAATCAGCAAAAATGAACAGAATTGTATAAACAAGGTATACTGTATAAAAAAGGACATAGAGGCTCTATAAACAAGATGTAGAGAACTGTACAAAAACAAAGGACAGGTCATTAGTGTGAGTGGTGGGTCATAAGTCTGAAGAGTATGCCTTAGTACTAAGTCCAGTCATTAAACAAGCAGGTCATTAATTGGGAACTATCTGTACAGGCACAAGAGTTACTTACTAAATGAATATACCATATATGCAAAAATAACTTCCATTCCACGTAAGTTTAAGGTAAAAGCAGAAGAGGATTTATTCCAGTAGACTAGTAAAGTCTACCCTGGTGTAATGCAAATTCCTTAAAAATGAGAACAATCGTATTCTTTAAATGAGGAACACTAATGCTTGATATATAAAGCATTAAATAAATATTTGATAAATAAAAGAATAAATGAACCACTATGTGAAACAACACATCTCTGCTTACTAGATGATCCCCTGTTCCTTGTGGGATAGATATTAGGTATATAAAAAATGTCACATTTTCTCATTAAAGACTAGAAGTGTGAAAGCCAGTAATGTCAAATTCTGCTTACATATACTAGTTAGTTATAGTTAAGTGGCTAACTTACCAGAGCAGACTTTCCCACGCCTCCTGAACCAAGGACCACTAGCTTGTACTCACGCATGATGTGGTCTGTTTAAATACTGACAATCTAAAAAACAGAAAAATAGACAATTAACAAATATGCTAAGAAGAGCCTAAGAATGTACAAGTATTACATCAAATATAGAATTTTGCTTTTTCCTTGACCCTATCAAAGGGATGACAGAAGCTAAAGAGTAAAAACCAAGCAGTTTTTAACAGGTTTATAGTACTACTACCATTTTAATTCACTGAGGATCATCTTTGACAAGGCGTCAATTAGCCTGTTCATGTTATTTCTGAGTGTGTGATCAGAAAACAAGATGATTAGAACCAATCTGTTTTTTTTTTTTTTTTTTTGATACCAGGAATTGAACTCAGGACCTTGTGATTGCCAGCCAGGCACTGTACCACTGAGCTACCTCCTCAGCCCCACAGCAACTGTCTTATAACTACAATCCTAAACCCAATGTATAAAGCCATAATTCAGACCATCTAAGTACTTTCTTGAATGTTCACTGGAGTTTTATTATAATATGCATATTATTTTATTTGCTTAAAACATCATACAGTAATTCTATACTATTTTGTTCATTATTACTTTATATCTGAGCCATGTAAAATGTCACTTTGGAAATTATTAGGCTATGAACAAGAGATCAGAATAAACTTAGTATTAGCAGGTATTAATAATGTACTTCATAAGGCCCAAACTGCTACAGAAAACAAAAGGAATATAACTTTATTTTAAAAGGTAAAGTTAAAAATATATAAAATAAAATAAATAAAAAAGGTAAAGACAGGAAATAATTACCAATGGCCATGATGAAGTAGCAAGGCTTAGACTTTTCATTCCATAGTAAACAGAATACTAAAACTTTTCAGACATTGGACAATAAAGGTAGGACTGTGATCTTTTTTTGTTTGCGGTGATTTTGTTTGTTTGTTTGTTTGTTTGTTTGCAGTGATTTTTTTTGTTTGTTTGCTTGAGACAGCGTCTTGCTTTGAGTGCAGCTGGCCTCGAACTCCGGCCCAGCCTCCTGAGTGCTACCATATGCCACCACACCCATCAGGACTGTGATTTTTGAGAGATGGGAAATAAATGAAGTGAAACCTACAACTGCACTGGCTTTCTGCTTGAAGACACTTTTCAGACTGTGGTACAGAGAGAAAGAACTCAAAAGGAGCTTAGAGTATAGAGGGAGTTATGCATAGAAAATTCCAGAAATTTGCCCACGGATTCATTTCACTCTGTGGCAAAAACTAAGCTAGACATAAAGGCTGAAGTTCCATGAGGAAAAACAAAGAAAAAAGATCTAACAATTCCCAGGATTCACACAGTGCAGGGAAACAGGGTTCCTTTTTTTGTTTGTTTTTTTTTGAGACAGGGTCTCCCTATGTAATTCAGGTTGGCCTTGAACTCACAGTGACCCCTCCTGCCTCAGCCTCCCAAGTGCTAGGATTACAGGCATGTGCCACCTTTACCGACATGGTTTCTAACAAGAAAATTCTTCCTTATTGAAAAACAAGGAATTCACTAGAAATCTAGGAAGGTTCAAATTTTAGTGGCAGAGCTAAAAAAGCCTGAGAGTAATGATACTCTTCCTGCTTCCAGCAAAGTTCAAAATTCTTTAAAAGGAGGAAAGCAATTCTATTACTCAACAATACAAAATTAACAATGCCTGGCACCCAAGAAAAAACCTGATACACATAGTGAGGTATGGTAGCATATTTCCTCAGCTACTTGGAAGACTGATGGCAGGAGGATAACGAGTCTGTAAGTTTGAGACCAGCTATAGCAAGACTCCATCTTTAAAACATAACCAAATAATTGAGAGATGTGGAAAAAAAAAAAAAAAAAAAAGAAAGAAAATAAGAAAATGTGACTGGAATTAGAGTGAAATGAAACAAAATGACCAAATTAGCCAATGAGGACTTTAAAACTGCTATTTTAAATGCTCAATGATTTAAAGAAAAAATGAGAGAAATGGTATCCATAAGAAAAAGAACCACTGGTCAAAAACATTATCTGAAATGGAAAATTTACTAGATGGGCTTAACTGTATATTTAAAACAACAGCAGAAAAGTTCATAAAATCTGAAGCAACAAAAACTACGCGTACTAAAACATAAAAAGGTGATAAAGGACTGGGCACAGTGGCAGTTGCCTGTAGTATCAGCTACTTGGGAGACCAAGGAAGAGGGATCACTTCAGCCCAGGAGTTTGAGGCCAATTCGGGCAGCACAGTGAGCCTCATCTAAAACACACACACGCCTGCATACACACACACACACACACACACACACACACACACACACACAAATACACAAATAGGGAAGGAGGGGGGACAGAGGAGGGAAGAGAGACAGATGAGAGGAAGCAGGAAAAGGGAGACAGGAGAGGAAAGAAAGAAGGAAGGCGGAGGGGAAACAACAACAACAAAAAAGAACATAATCACAGGACAATATTAAGCTATCAAGCAGTCCAATGAATGCATAACTTGAGAGGAGAGTATTGTTTGAAACATAATGACAACATTTGATAAAAATTATAAACCCACAGATCCAAGATACTCAATGACTAGTATACAAGCAAAGAAAATCACAGAAAGGTAAAATAATCAAATTTTTGAAAAGCTGTCAATCAGAAAAAAAAATCTTACAAGTTTTCAAGCAGAAAAGTTTAAGTAGGAACAAAGTTTAGTTAGGTACAAAGTTTAAAAAAAAATACATACCCCTGAATAAAAGTAAAAAAGAAAAAGTACACAACTGCTGCCAATTTTTTGAAATTCTCACCTTTGACAAAGGTAAGAAAAAGAGGAAACTCTATCATGTCTTAACTATATATCAGGTATGAAACTCTTCCAGGCAGACAGACTCAGAGCTGCTGATGAAGCTACAGAATTCCCTGCCTGAGAGAGCAGGATGTATAGTGCTGTGGGAGGAGACGTACAGTAGTAGCTCACTGCAGCGGATAGGGCTGCTGAATACAAGCCTGATGTGAGGAACCCGCTTCCTGGAGTACCAGTCAAGGTGCAAGGTGAATGGGCCTAGAATGAAACACACCAACCCACACCTCTGCTCATACACTCATACACGGAAAAACATGAAACAGTGAGATCCAGAATGTGTCTTTTCAAACTTAAAGATGTGTTTCAGAAATTGAAATCTTTTACTAAGTTGGCACAATGATGCATAACGTGCCAGGCTCTTAGTAAGTATGTGTGAGGCTGTCTGCGGGGCTGATCTCCGGCACAACCATGATGACAGAAAAAACAAAAAAGGAGGGAGTGAGGTAGGAAGGGAAAGAAAAAACAGTCGAGAGGGGGAGAAATACACAGGTTTCTTAGGCTTCTTGAAAAGCCATACAAGACAGGAAAAATGGAATATCTTTAAACAACAGGAAAAAAATCAATATAGAAAGCTAAACACAACAAATGTATCAGAAATGAAAGTAAAAAAGATGTTTTCAGACTCCCTTCTAAAAAACTAGGTCCAACAGCACAAACTTAAATAGTGAATGGGAGTACATCTAAAAGGTATTTTTTTAATCACACAAAGCAAACCTAGTAACATACCACAGGGTTTACATATACAGAACTAATATATATTACAACAATATTATACGAGAAAGGAATGGAAATACATTGTTGAAAGACTTTAGATTACATTTGAAGTAGTACAATATTTAAAAATTGTCCTAGGTTAAAGATTCATATTTTAAGTATGACAGAAACCATTAAAACAAACAAACAAACAAATGTGAAAATTAAAAAAAGCAAGAATGGCTAATAATGCAAAGGCTGAGATAAATGAAACTTTCTGGTAGGTCAAGGTGATGAATATATGAATTAGCTTCTGTTAAAAAGCCATGGTATGCATGTATCAAAATACTGTACCTCATACATACTTTTAGCTCAAAAGAAAGCAAGAAAAATGTAAAGCAGTGGGCATGGTGCGCCATGCCTACAATCCCAGCACTCAAGAGGATGAGGCAGGAGGACTCATAAATTCAAGACCAGCCTAAACTATATATATACAGCAACACCCTGTTTGAAAACACAAAACAAACGAAAGAACTCCAAAACAAAAAAGCAAGCAAAAGGAAGAAAGAAAAGAAGAAAGAAAGAAAGAAAAAAGAAAGAACAAACACAAACAGGATTGTACAATTAAAAGGCAACCACATCATTACATCAAATGCAAATCATCTAGACAATTCAAAGGACAGATTTAAAAAAAATGATAATTATTGTATATGTTGTTTGAAGAAATAAACTTTTAAATAAGAATACAGGAAAAGAAGCATTTATTGGTATTAAAATCACCTTTGCTGGAAATATTACTGTTTATTGTCTGCATTTAAAATAGAAGGAAACACTAAATTTCACCTAGAAAATAGTGAAAAAAAAAAAGGTTTTTTTTTTCCTATACAGATATTGGTGGTCCTACATGAAGAATTCCTACCTATTCTAGGAAGTCAGTACTTTTGGTTACTTAGACTGGCTGTTCTCAAACTGGTTTCAGGTCCTCTTGATACTCAAATTCTCATGAGCATTTGTTTATTCAGGTTCTCAAGAATGGATGTTGGATTTTTTTCAAGTGTTTTTTCTGCTCTGTGTATGTTGACTCTTACAGCTTGTATTTAATATTGTACTAGTATTTAATACTGTACTAAGCTAGGTACAGTAGGTCCTAGCCTATGCACAAGGAAGAAATAAAGCTGTTCTCTATTATAACAACATGACCTTAAATGATAAAAATTTCAAGGAATACACAACAATATTGCCACACTATTAAATAAATTAAGCAAAATTGCAGGTTAAGAAGTTAATAAGAACAAAGCAATTGCATTTTCATAAACCGTTAAAGAATTGAAAAATGAAATTAAAATATAATTTACAAAAGCATCCAATAAGAAACTAATTACAGTTGAATTCGACAAAATATATACACTAAAAATACGAAACATGGCTGAAATTAAGAGACCAGTACAGAGATATGCTATATTATGTTAAGATACGCCCATATTGTTAAGATATTAATTTTCTTCATATTGACGTGCAGATTCAATGCAAT